TCGAGTGTAGATTTATTCTGATACTTCTTCTAGTTAAAGACAGACATCAAAATCTTCTGGCTCAGATTAAATAAAGCATAGATTTGTTCTGATACTTCTTTCAGTAGACATTTTCTGGCTCAGATTAAATCAACCATAGATTTATTCAGATACTTCTTCCAGTTAAAGACAAAAAGACCTCTTCTGGCTCAGATTAAATCGAGTGTAGATTTATTCTGATACTTCCCCCAATTAAAGACGGATGCAGACATCTGCTGGCTCAGATTAAATCAAGCGTAGATTTATTCTGATACTTCTTCCTGTATACATTTTCTGGATCATATTAAATCGAGCATAGATTTATTATGATATTTCCCCCAATTAAAGATGGACGCAGACCTCTGCTGGCTCAGATTAAATCAAGCGTTGATTTATTCTGATACTTCTTCCAGTAGACATTTTATGACTCAGATTAAATCGACCATAGATTTATTCTGATGCTTCTCCCAGTTAAAGAAGGACGCAAACATCTTATGGCTCAGATTATATTAAGCATAGATTTATTTAGATGCTTTTTCCAGTTGAAGTCGAACATAGACTTAGTCTAATTCCTATCAACAGTCACTCTGGATGGCATTTGTAAGCCCATCTCCTGCGACTCTCGGTCACCCCTGGTTGTGGATGTAGAAGAGAGGTTCCCTAGGGATTGTGAAAGTATGAAGATGGCTTGCCTTTTGTGGCATGTCTTGCCCCAACGCTTGAATTTTGAAACACCATGCCCTTGATTAACTGGCCCTTGGAATGATTTTCCCTTGATGAACCATTTAGAACCGGTTTCTGAGTCTCACAGTGGTCTACCCCAACATTTGAATTTTGAAAGGCATGCCACTTTATTTAGGGTTTGGAGGAGTGTCCTAAGAAGGAACTTGGATCCCGCCATTCTGTGATATAGGTTTTGATATAGGTTACCCAAGTGTTTGAGTCTTGAAAAGTAGGCCCTTTATCAACTGGTATTTTGAGAAGTGATCCAAGTTCACCAAATCTTAGAATAAGTTCCCCTAGTCAACAGGATCCTCGGATGATGTGCCCCTATGATCATAGGATTTTCCCATGTTTATAGGGTTCCTCTTAGATGCTTTAACTCTAGTTAGAAGCTTCTTGGAAATGTTGTCTTTGATCAGACCATTTCTGAAATCTCCTTGATGCTAAGTATTGACTCGTAAGTAAAATTGTCCCCTTTCAAAAGTAATCCTAATGTGATACACATGCAAGTTCTTGAAATTGAAATTTATTATTGAAAAGAATTAGATGATTAGAGATGAAGAAGTGGCAACGTGGTTTTGTGATGATTTAACAAACATTAAGAGTCAGTTTAACCCAAATTTTGTTGAGTATGCCTTCATAGTTAACCTAGCTTCAATTAGGATTTTTGAAGGTTGTAATGTGGCTTGGTTCACGGTTTAAAAAAACAAATGATATAAGGCTCGAAATTTTATTTATCCCACCCTCATTCTCCTTGATATTCTCTGTTCCTAAATTCAATTAACCCAATGAATGTCTTCAGCCTGCAAGAGATTTTTTATAGTCGGGATGATGAGTAGAAGCATTGATAAGATTTAAGCACTTGATGAGAAGCATCGGTGTTTATTGAGGTGGCAGTCACAAGATTGTTCTCTAATTTATTTATTTCCAATCCCTTATTTTTCATGGACCAATTCTTTTGAATTTTCCGGTCCATCGTGATGCCCTAACTTTTGCCTAAGTCAAAATTTTTTGCTTTTTGTTTTTGACTTAGCTGGCCCTCTTTTTTTTTGAAATTTTTCTTTTGAGATTTTTTTGATTCAGGAAAGTCGTGACTGCCATGTTTGATTTTTGCGAGTTTCATCTTTATTGCTCCCTCGATGTTGTATGAAATAAGTGAGTAAGAAGATGTTGTGAGCTTTATCTTCATTGTTTTCTCGATCTTGGATGATGTATACGAGGAAGAGGATATGCTTGAACCTTATACACAGATAGGCTAATTCTATTGAGATTAGAATACATGCATGAATTAATTGAAATCTACCCTTCCCTTGGTTAAGATTATGGGTTTTTAGAAAATAGAAATAACTCCAACTTCTGGCTCGAGGGGGTTAGCTACAGATCATCTCCTTATTTCTCCACTGTTTAGGAAGTGAAATAATGCCTTACATCGTCAGCTAAGTCTTACTATTAAAAATCATACGTCAGCAAAATTCGATTATTTAGTTTTCGTCATTCTCCCTCGAAGTTTGTTAAAGAAAATTGAGAATGGAAGAGTGAAAAGTGAAATGGAAAGTGATGAAAGAGTGAATATGAATGAACTGATTTCAAAAACATGCATGATTATTTTATTAGAATTACTGATCCAAAGATACAAATTTACACCAAATGAAACTTAGCAACTAGGAAATTACAATTTGCAACTGATAAAGCCTAATGATCCTATAGAAGAGCTCCTTTGATGATCCATGTGACTTTGGGAAATGATTCGTAGTTTTTGGACTTGTCAAAGCATGAGGATGACCCTTGACTTCTCTTCGGGCATACCAATTCTGTTGATATGGAAATGGGGGAATCACCAATGAAAGTTGAAACTGAGGCGTTGTATAGGCTTGTATAATGAAGGGTTTCCTTCTCTCCACAATAATATTTATAGGACCAAGATCTTTTGAATCTCCAACGTTTAACCTTTCCTTCACCAATCTAAGATTTTCTTGAAATTCTTGGACTTTGTTCTTGAGCATCGGGAAATTTGTTAGCTGGATTGATAGAGACCAAGGGCGAAGGTGGAAATGCATGACATGCAAATGTATGGATGTACGAAAATGCATGGGTATGTAAAATTATTTTTTTGGCTTTCGGGTATGCAAAATTTTTTCATGGATATGCAATGCGACATAGACGTAGTATGAGGGTAGACGTAGGGGTACCCTATACAGGTTTAATGGTAGATATGGAAATGATGATGACCTACACTGACTCAAAGATTGAGACATGCATGAACTCCTTAAGGATGAAGAAAAACGAAGAAGAATCCCTACGGGATATGGATTATAGCAGAGGGACGGGGATTCCTACAGGCTAGGAATTGTGATAGACAAACAAACGGTTGAGATGAAGGTTGGACTTGAGGGAATAGCATGGAAGAGAGCACATGGTGACCAGTTAATGGTCACCAGATCCCATGGCCTGATATAGGCCACATGGCGTGCATTAGCGAGGACATCCTTCGTGGGAAGATGAACAAGATCCTATAAGAGCTCTAAGGATAATGTCGGATGAAAGGGGATCCCTACCAACTAGGGATTAAGATCTTCAAAAGAAAATCCCTACTGGATAGGGGTTATATCATAAAAATACGGAAGCCCTACAGGCTAAAGATAGTAGTGGAAAAAAAGATAATCCTTGTGGGTTTAGGGATTATAATGGGATGTTAAAGGTATCCTTAATTGGTAGGTTCCTAGTTTCGGCTTACGGATATTCTACCCTCCCCATAAGGTGGCTTCCTTAAGGGTATCATGGATAACACCAAAGGGAAAAGGCACAAGGACCTCCCTTAGGCGGAGCCTCGTTGTAGACCGAAACTTTCGTCTCTAAGGTCGTACAAGGTCTCACCATGACAAAGATTCTAAGTTGTTTGACTCGTTTCTAGACGAAGGAAATGTGTTAGGCACCCTTCATCTACCTTGTTCGCAAGGATACTAGCGTTTAGAATTACAACTTAGGAAATATGGTTTTAATTTTTTATTAGGGGAAATCGCCACAATTTTAGTCGTATGCCTATGTATCCTCTTATGAGGAATCAGAGTTCCAATTCGTAGTTCGCAGTTGGTTGGTGTTTTTTATAGGATTGCATAGAATTGATTTTGCATCATCCTTGAACCTTGTCTGGGTTGTAAGTTGAGTGATCGTAGATGCAGTTCGCAGCTAATTTCGATAACAATTCTCCTTAATCATTTTTCGAAAATGTTATTGAATTTGATTATGTTAGTAAAAAAATGTTTGAATTGTTGGTTAGACATTTTGAATTTTGAATTGATTAACGAGTATGATAAGACATAGAGCGGGGGAGTCTGATATAGTCTCCTTATCGTGTGGCCAAATATTGGCCACGTGTTACTCGTCACGAAGGATGCGGAGGGAGTCTGATAAAGTCTCCCTCATCACGTGACTAGATATTTGCCACATGTTGCTCCACGTGACTAGATATTTGCCACATGTTGCTCGTCATGAAGAATGCAGAGAGTTTTAATATTTGATTTTTGAATAATCAATTAGTAAGCGTTAAGCCGACCAATCGATTATTCGAGGATGTGATATCCCTATATTTACAAAAATATTGAAATGAATTAAAAATGAAAAGTTTAGAGTTATGTATATGTGAGTGGGCTATTAGGTTTATTATTTTTGGCATTTTTTGAATAATAAAAAAAACTAAGCTAATTGATAAAACTAATTAAATTATTCAAAAGTTGATTAAACTAGCTAAGACTTATTGGTAAAATCAAGCACAAAGTTAAATAGATTTAATAAAATTAATCAACCTAATTGAAATTTAAACTAATTATACTACTAATACCTAAATGGGGTGTAACTATAAAATCTTAAGGAGTATGATCAGCCATCAAACCTTAAGCTCAAACCTGTAAGGCCCAACTACTAAAAAAACATAGTTTAATTTACCATAAATAAAATAAAAGATAAAACAATAACAACCATAGTCAACAACACCTCCACGATTATCTCACTGTTCTAATTCCACTTCTTCCCTAAATCTCATTTTTCTCTCCTTCTTTCAATTGCTCACACAAACAATTTCATATCCAAACATTCAAGACTTAATGCTACGCACACAATACTGAAACGTGGAAATTGACACTACCTGTACAAAGGCCTGCGAAGTAGCATGGTTGGAGATTGGAGGGGTCTCCTGAGCTTTGCGGGTAGAGCGGGTTGTCAATTTTATTGCAAATAGAGGGAGGCCGATTGTGGTTTCGGCGATGTTGTGGTGTCTTGTAGGTAGAGAGCGGATCTGTGTGGTGTTGTGGCTGACTCAGGTTTGCATTGATGAAGGAGCAGTCGCGGATCGGGTCAGATGGTGGCATGGGGCAACCGGTGGTGGGGTCATCACAAGGCGGGGCTATTGGTTGCCGCTGGTGGTAGCAGATCTGCTCGCGATGGATGGAATCAAAGACGGAGGATGTTGGGCAAGATTGCGATCTGGATGGCTGAGGCATCGCCGTGTGGATCTTGAGGTGGCGACATGGAAGCGCACAGTTCTAACGTCGACAGATCCGCGTATGAATGCCGCTGGAAAGGATGACCTGATCTTTTTCTTTCTTCTCTGTATTTTCCTGCACAACAATCAAACAAAGACTACAACACAACAATTTTTTCATATTTTGTTTTGAGTCTTCTCCTTCATGGTTTTTTGGTTTACTTGTTGTGGGATTGTAGTTACTGTTGTATGGTCTGTTAGAAAAAAGTTATATTCACAGTTATAAAAAATGTGAAGCTAAGAGATGATGGAAAATTGTTTTGGTTGAAAAAAAAGATAGAATTGAATTTGAGTACTTATTGACTTGAAAATAGATGCAGCGGACCTATATATACAATGGTTTATGTGTTGGTTTTTGTTTGTAAGTATAATATTTACATGGTAGTAGTGTAAATTAGAGGTTTTATGAATGTTGTTGTAATAAGCAAGAAACGAGTGAAAAGGTTTTAGAGACCATATGTGAATGGGTTTATGTACATTGTGGGATTGGTTAGAAATTGTTGTAATATATGCCAAGTAAGATTAAAAGAGGACAAGGGTTTGGTGAATAATGAACATGACGTGAGTATACAGTAAATTGTTCTCATAAAGTGTGTGAAAGATTGGCCTTGTGAATAAAATGGGTTTTGTGTAAGTGTAAATATGCGTGTACATGAAAATAGGTTAGTGAGAATTTGTGGGTGAATTTGTACCTGGATGAATATTTTGTGAGAGAAAAGAATGTTGTTTAAAAAAATAAATCATTAGACCTCTGTCATCACATTGTTTAAACAATAAAAAAATTAAAACAAATTAAAATTGAAGATAAGAGGGAGACTTCATATTAAATCATCGGCAAAAAAAATCATTCTTGTAAATACGTTAAAAATTGTGAAAGAGGAAAAAGTGTATTGTTCTTAGGTTGTTGTCTGATAAATTCAACAACCCTAGAATAATCCAAGAAAACAAGAATTATAAGAGTGTGAAAAAAATAGCAAGTTTTTGTGGATTTGTGATTGAATTTTGGATTTCTGGCTTTTTTTATGAGAAACTAGGATAACAATAGTTTTATTTATAGAGTTAAATTAGGTTTAAAAACATGGAGAGAAAGTTAGCCCAAAATGAATGAAAAGCCCAATGTCTGATTTCCAAAAAAGAAAGAAAGAAAATTAGTAACAAAAAATAGAAAAAGATAACGTTAAAAGTGCAACACACAAGATTCAAACTCACGACCTCATTATTTCAAGCTTAATTCCTTACCAACTGTGCTATATTACTTATTCAAAATAAAAAGCCAATTGAATGTACATGAAGACGGGTAAGTGTTTTTTTATTCAAAAATACAAAAGATCGAAAATAAATCATTATATTTTTAAATAGGTTTGGAAGCAACTATTTATAAAAATAAAAAAAAAATTATAAAATCAATGTTGAAAATATTTTTGATTATAGAAATAAAGGTTGGGCAAATTTTTGATATGACATAATGTCTTGACTCAAGAGCTGGGAAAGTTGGAAAAAGATGACATTCCACAAGAAGGAATCTTGAGTGGACCCCTGAACAAATCAATTGTTAATAAGGAATATAAGGAGGTGTTGGAATTATATATTGATGATCAGAAGCAACACTCACCTTCAATAGAAGTTCCTCCTGAACTGAAACTTAAACAACTGCCTGCCCATTTGTAATATGCTTTTCTAGAGGCAAGACTGAAGTTGCCTGTAATTTTTGTAATAGATCTGGATGGAGAACGAAAGAGCCAACTGTTGGAGATTTTGAAGAGACACAAGAGAGTTATTGCTTGGAAATTTTTTGATGTTAAGGGGATTAGTCTCATAGTTTGCATGCATAGAATTTTGCTAGAGGAAAATACCAAGAATAACATTGAATGTCAAAGGAGACCTAATCCCATCATGAAGTAAGGGGTCAAGAAAGAGGTTATAAAGTGGTTAAATGTTGGGATTATCTATCCCATTTATGAAATTGTGTGGGTGATCCCTATTTAATTTGTGCCAAAGAAGAGAGGCATGATTGTGGTCAACAATGAGAAAGATGAATTAATCCCCACAAGAATAGTTACCAAGTAGAGGATTTGTATGGACTACGGGAAGCTAAACAAGGCCACTAGGAAAGATCATTTCCCCTTACCTTTCATTGACCAGATGTTGGATAGATTGGCTGGAAAGAAGTAGTATTTCTTTTTAGATGGATACTCGGGCTACAATCAAATATCCATTGCTCCTGAAGATCAAGAGAAGACAATGTTCACTTGTCCTTATAGTACCTTTGCCTTTAGAAGAATGCCTTTTGGATTGTGAAATGTTCAAACCACCTTTCAAATGTGCATGATGGCTATCTTTTATGATATTATTGAGAGTTGTATGGAATTATTCATAGATGACTTCTCTTCTTTTGGGGAGTCATTCAAGAAATTCTTAGATAACTTGGATTCAGTTCTGACAAGATGTGAAGAGAACAATCTAGTACTGAATTGGGAGAAGTGCCATTTCATGGTGAAAGAGGGGATTGTTCTTGGACACAAGATTTCAAAAAGGGGCCTGGCAGTAGATCAAGCCAAGATATAAGTTATTGAAAAGCTTCCCCCACCAGTGAACATTAAAGGCATTAGAAGCTTCTTAGGGCATGCTGACTTCTATAGGAGGTTTATCAAAGACTTTTCAAAAATCACCAAGCTACTTTATCAATTGTTGCAGCACGACATGCCTTTCATCTTCACTTAAGAGTGTTTGAGCTCATTTAACATGTTAAAGAAAGCTCTAACTTCTACTCCTATAGTGAAAGCTCTTGATTGGACGAAGCCATTTGAGTTGACGTGTGATGCAAGTGATTTTACAATTGGAGTTGTGCTTGGTTAGAGGCACGACAAGGTATTTCACACCATCTATTATGTTAGTAGAACTTTGATTGAAGCTCAAGTCAACTACACTGCCACTGAGAAGGAGCTGTTAGTTGTTGTGTTTGCCTTTGACAAGTTCAGATCCTAATTGGTTGGTACCAAAGTCATTGTATACACTGATCATGCTACAATCAAGTACTTAATTGCTAAAAAGGATGCCAAGTTAAGGCTTATCAGATGGTTACTTTTGTTGCAAGAGTTTGATATGGAAATAAGAGATAAGAAGGGAGTTGAGAACTTGGTAGCTGATCATTTGTTAAGGTTACTAGAGGAGGTGCAAGATAAGAATAATGGAGAAATTCAGGAGAATTTTATCTAATGAGAAGTTACTACTAATAACTGCTGGTGTGACTCCATGGTACGTTGACATTGTCAACTACTTGGTCAGTAGGGTTGTACCAGCTGAGCTTATGTCCTAACAGAGGAAAAGGTTCTTCCATATGACTAGATATTATTTCTGGAATGAACATTTCCTCTACAAGAGATGTGGTGACCAATTGTTAAGAAGATGTGTGGATTAACCAGAGGCACGACAAATCCTGTCCGCCTATCATGAAGCTCCTTATAAAGGACATTTGGAGGAACCAAAACTGCTTCCAAAATTCCACAATCAGGTTATTTCCGGCCCTCTATTTTTAAAGATGCTCATGAACTAGTTAGGAAATGTGATAAGTGCCAAACAGTGGGGAATATCTCCATGAGGCAAGAATTCCTCTTACCAACATCTTAGATATTGAAATTTTTTATGTATGGGGCATTGACTTCATGGAACCATTTGCTCAATATTTTGGGAACTTTTACATATTGGTAGTTATGGATTATGTTTCTAAATGGATAGAGGCAGTAGCAACCCCAACTAACGATGCTAGGGTGGTGACTAAATTTTTAGTGAAAAATATTTTTTTCTAGACATGGCACCCCTAGAGTAATCATTAGTGATGGAGGAACCCATTGTTGCAATAAAATATTTGAAAATTTAATGGCAAAGTATGGTGTTAAAAACAAGGTTGCTACGGCGTACCACCCACAATGCAGCGGGCAAGCTGAAGTTTCTAATAGAGAAATAAAGAGGATTTTGGAAAAAATTGTTAACCCCTCTAGAAAAGATTGGTCTAAGCATTTGGATGATGCCTTCTAGGCATATAAAACAACCTTTAAGACCCCCTTAGGCATGTCTCCATATAGACTTGTCTATGGGAAGACATGCCACTTGCCTATTGAGTTGGGGCACAAAGCTTTTTGGGCAACCAAAATCCTTAATTTTGACTCATCTAAGGCTGGCCAAGCTAGAACGCTTCAACTAAATGAGTTTGAGGAGCATAGGTTGTTTTCTTATGAGAATGCTAAATTGTATAAAGAAAAATACCAAGAGGTGGCACAATAGGAAGTTCCTGAAGAGGGAGTTAAGTGAAGGACAACTTGTTCTGTTCTTTAACTCTAGGCTAAAGCTGAAGTGGTGAAAAACACAAGAAGGGGGGTTGAATTGTAAAACTGAAATCTAAAGGAATTGACAAGATATTTTTATCTTGGTTCGTTTGATCTCAAACTACTCCAGTCCACCCGTCAAGGTGATTTCGCCTCTCTCCAACGAGGTCTTAATTCACTATATTCAACTGAATATTATAGACTGCTTTAACAACTGCTAAAGCCTTCTTGATTCAAACCACAACCCGGTTTGTCAAGGTAACACTTTCTTACAAAGAGATAAAACAATGTGTGTGGATGTTTTCTACAAAACTTTATCACAACTGTGATGTATACACAAATTGAAGCTTAGAAACTAGATTGCTAAACAGTAATGGAATATCAGAGTGTATGGTTTAGCAAAACTGGTAGAACGAAGATTATGGTTCAGCTTTTGTGCGTGTAGAGATTTGGAGAGCATTAACCATTTCAATCTTCAAAGCCTTGTTTATATAGCATTGAGATGATGAACGTTGGATGCAATATTCTTGATTCAATGCTAATAACAAACTTTCCTTATTGAGCAGATCTTGTCTGGAATGAAGCCGTTGGAATTAATTTGCTTTCAATGCACAGTACCGTTGCTTACTTAATGCAAGTTCTGGCTTGGCTCATTCTGATTCTGCTTCGCTGCTGATGAACTATTGTGTTTCTGTATCAGAGTATTAGGCGCAGTCTTGTTCATTAGGCTTCAGCATGTACGTGAGTTGATCATCTGATTTTGACGTTCTGATGTAGCAACTTCTGATGCTGGTGTCTGAAATCAAGTTCTGATGCTGAATAGATGTGATCTTGCTTCTTTCAATCAGCGTATCTGCAAGTCAGAACATAATAATTTTAGGCAGCAGATAGTTCATTCATGATACTTATAAATACTATATCTTTTCACTTTGTTATCATCAAAACTTAAATATAGGGTAGTAGATTCAAACATTGTTCTAACAAAAGCTTTTCCATGGGAAACTTAAATCTAGATGGTTTGGGCCCTTTAAACTGATTAAGATTTACCCTCATGGGGCCGTGGACCTATTGAATGAAAGAACAAGTGAAAATTTCAAAGTGAATGACCAAAAGGTGAAGATGTATCATGGTGAATCATTAGACAACATAAGGGCCACCATGCATTTGATTGAATCTGTTTTATTTTTTTCTATAGTCAAGTTATAAGACTTTAAAATAGAACTACTGTGAGGCAACCCAGTTTAACTTTCATGGTTTAGTTAATTTATTTTTCAGATGATGTGATTGATGCAATAAAGTGGGGAAGAGTCAATGATGAGTCATGTCGTGACTAGTAAGCTGAGAGAGTCTTGCATAAAAAAGGAGAATAAATAATGATGCTAAGTCCTTTGAATATCTCATGAACGAGGCAAGTGTTGGGGCACGTGAGAGAAACAAAAAGAAAGTGGAGAGAGAGAATACCACACGCGCGTGATAGATTGTAGCTCTTCCAGCATGACGTCACATTGGGGGAATAGCATTAAATGATGCTTGCACACTATTGTGAAGAATCATTGCAGGAAGTAACCCTCACCAAGCCCCACACTATCCAAACCCTATCTTTTGTAAAAACTCAAATTTTGTTTCCCCAATTTTGAATGTTACACCCCTTTTCTCAAAACTTCTCAACTTTCACTCACAAATATAACCTCCCATCACTTCATCATTTCTCTTAACCTCTCCATAAACATATTCCATAAACTTCCATTATTTTTGTCACCCTCTATCACAACCCTTTTCACCCAAAACTCTTATCCCTCTTAAACCCTAAAACAACCATGGCGCTAACCTACTCCAAATTCAGAATCAAAACTTGTGCCCGTAAGAATGCTACGACTGCCATGGATATTTCTGACAACGAGGGAAGTGACTGTGAAGTATTCACCAACACATATGCTAATCAAAAATTCATTAATTCCATCTCTTGTATGGAAATGTTTTCTGAATGAGGTTTCACCCTTGACACGGAGGATGAAAACCTAGGTCTCCCAGGGAGTACTGGGTCGCTAATCAAGCACAAGAAGTGGGGTAGGTTTTTCCAACAACCTACACCGTACAACACCCAACTGGTAAAAGAGTTTTACGCTAACCTAGTGAGCACCAACAAGAAGACCGAAGTCATGGTGAGAGGATATTGTGTGTCATACTCAGAAGGAATCATCAACATGATGTATGTGTTGAAGAAATCTGATGATCAATATCAAGAGATTATGGAAAAAGATGATGATGCAGAGTTTGAGGTTTACATGCAATCACAGTGCAACCTGGATACCACTTGGGTGGAGTCTAGTAGAGAAAAGATTGTGA